CATTCTCTGTCAAAGTGCCCGCGAAATGGCGACGAAAACACAACTATAGTAGGGCTGGAGTCATGACAAACACCGCAAAGTAGCGCTTTGTAGAGAATGGGCATTAGCACAACCACGACCTAGGTACTACAAATGCCAAAAGGCTAAATTCTCATTGCGACTTATCGCCTCATTTGTCACCCCTTCCTCGCCATACTACTGTCATGTCTTCGCCTCCATGTCGCTCAGCACTTTGACGGGGGTTGGATCGTTTCTTATGTAGATATTGCTCGGTATATGTCTCTTTTTAGTATTTAATCGTGTCCACCCTGTTTAATCTTTTTTTTGCGTTACTTCAGCATCTGTTCACGAACGGCGATAGAATTGGTGGTACTATATAATATGGTCGGATAGATATTTGTTTGTCTCGCAGATGTTTAGCCTGAGAATCTACCTGCCACACCATACATTTGTGCTTTTTAAAGCGTCAATAATGCATTTGGAGCGGGTTTTTCAAAAGGCTCACCAAAACATATAAATCAATCGGGGTTAAACATTGTGACAAAACATAATAATTTTTTCAAGCAAATACAGTATTGCTTAATCATTTTACTGTCTACACTGATTATAGGTGGATGTGGTGATTCTGGCGAAAATGTTGAGACAACCAGCAACGACCTACCCTCTCAAACAGTTACGCCGCCCAGTTTTCAGGTTCCCCCACCTATAACTAAGCCAGATCCGCCTGCTACGCCATCCGTGCCACCGTCTTCACCACCGCGTACCGATGACGACTCAACAAATTTAGCACTTACGCCCCCTATGGGCTGGAACTCATGGGTAGCAGTACATTGTGAACCCACCGAAGAACTCATGAAAAGTGCGGCCGATTTTTTGGTCAGTTCGGGTTTAAAAGAAAAAGGTTATCAGTATGTCATCTTAGATGACTGTTGGCAAGATAAACAGCGGGATTCCAGTGGCAATTTGCGCGCGAACCCCAAGACATTTCCTAACGGAATTCCTCACTTGGTAGATTATATCCACAGTAAGGGACTTAAGTTTGGCATATATGCCGCACCTAACGAAAAATCGTGTGAAGGTAATCCTGGGAGCTTGGGGCATGAAGCACAAGACGCCCAATTATTTGCCTCGTGGAAAGTGGACTTTGTGAAATACGACTGGTGTAGCGAAAAGGGCACGTTGGCTGAACAGGTGCAGGTGTTTACTAAAATGCGTGATCTTTTGCGGGCCACTGGCAGAAAAATTGTCTATAGCATCAATCCTAATAGTCAGCACCCCACAATTACAGGCACAGAGTATGATTGGTCTACCGTAGCAAATATGTGGCGTGTGAGCAACGATGTCCTGCCTTTATGGGATACGGTTATACCTCTACTCTATGATGGTGTCATCTCAGCAGCGGATAAATCTTTGGGGTTGCCCCAACAAGCTAAGCCTGGTCATTGGAACGACCCCGATATGCTGCTTGCAGGCAACAACTTTTTTACCTTTATGTTGCATTTTCTCGCGCCTAGCAATATTGGGGCCATTCCTTTTCTAAAGTCGGATCTTGAAAAAAGATTGTGGAGTTATATGCTTGATGGTACTGCTAGACCATTTTTGACCCATTATGAAAAACTCAAAACGCCACTCCCAACCCCGTATCAGGTGCGGTCGCAGATGTCATTATGGGCCATGCTGGCTGCGCCGATGTTCATCAGTTTTGACACTCGTCTACCCGTTAGTCAAGAAACGTTATCCATCATAGGCAATACTAACCTTATTAAAATTAACAATGATCCTTTGTTTAAACAGGCCCTTGCCGTTGATCAAGCAAAGCAAGTATGGATTAGACCTTTGTCTGATGGCAGCTATGCTGTTTCGATGGTGAATCGCTTAGGAATGACGGCGAAGGTTTCGACTCACTTAAAGCAATTAGGGCTTCCTGCAGGAAACTATCGGGTTGAGGATCAATGGACACAGGTCACTTCGACGACCAATAGCACCTTAAGTGCTGAGCTTCACGCGCATGAAACAGTGATCTATAAACTAACCAAGATGCCGTAACCCTCTTGGGTCACACATGCAAAAACTAGCTTTTTTATATCGCAGAGCCCCAAAAATGGGGCTTTTTGTGACTTGAACAAATAGTTTGGTGATTTTATGAATCCTGCCTTCTATGTCAGCTGAGTTATAGCATAGGATCAATAAAAATCTAATTCCAATTCCCGATCAATCATGTCATTTATCACTCCTCCTAGCCTTACTATAGTCATGTCTTCGTCGTCGTTTCGCTGACACGATTGATCGGGTAATGGAATAATAAACCCTATCAGCGGTTTACTGTATTAAACCCGGATTTTCCACTAGGAGCAAAGTTCATTGATTGGAAAGGGGAATTTCTAATGGGGGTCATTAGAACAACCGATTGATTTTATTCGGACTTAGGTGCCAAATGGGTAATCTGGGTTTAAAGGACCCAAAAAATCGACCTCCCAAACAACAAACGGCATTTGGAGCGATAGAGGCAGCAAATTTGCAAACGGCAAAGGCTTGGCATGTTCGCGACAACTTTAAAGCGATGTTTACGCGCACTGATGAGCAAAGTGCACAGGAAGTGATGTTAGCGTGGATGGAATCGAGCAAACGCGCTGGTGTGAAAGCGGTTAACAGAGTAGTTAAAACCTTTGAGCGTCATCAAGAAGGGATTCTTAACGCAATCACTACTCGCACGAGCAGTGGTGTAAACATGAGAACACGAACGGACGAATTCAATCGGTGATTGCAAAAGGACGGAGACTCCATAGTTTCGAGCGTTTCAGGATCAATGTGCTGTTTTGCTTCGGTGGACTGGATTTCTCACAAAATATTTAGCATAGCCAACTTTAAGTGTCTAATGAAAAATTTGGGGTCAATTTAGAAGCCTCCCACAGGGACAAACAGTTTCGAGCTAGAAGTCCCTGATCCGGTTGAGCCTTTATTATTTTGCCCTTTCGAGCCCTCCGGTTTGGGCATCGCTCGGGCCTCCTCAGGGACGCGATTGCCATTAGCGTCTGTTACCAAGGCAAGTGAGGTAATTGTACGACCGACCCCTCCTTGAACCGATTGACTTTGTTTAATATTCAATGAGTTCATAATAATACTCCTTAACGATAGTTTGTATTAAACTTCTATCCAGAACGAGAACGAAGCTCATTCTATTTTCCGATCAATTGTGTAAGCGAAACGACGACAAAGACACGACTACAATAAGGCTAGGAGGTGTGACATATGACACGATTGATCGGAAACTGGGATAGGCCACCGAGCTTGACATCAGTTATAGTACAAAATATCCAAAAAAGAAGCCCTTTTTTGCGGCTGGTAAAATTATTACAAATCAAATAATTAAGCAAAATACCAACTCAAACATGTGGAATATAGGCCGATCGTGAAAAAATGTCTCGTTTGACTCAAAACTGAAACGATGGGTTGATGGCTGCGCCCTGCGATTTTATGAACGCAGCAACTCAGCGGCCATTTCAAAATCCGCAAAAACTGGGGCATGATCAGATGTTTCCTGAGAAGGCAACTTTAAAGCCCCAGCTTGATAACACACACTTGCATTCACACAATATTTTGCCAAGGCATCAGATGCGAGAATATAATCGAGTTGCTGTAATTGCTCACCGAATTGAAATGTCCAGCGTTTTTCGGGATCTGGGTTAAAGTGTTGGGTTAAATGAATCAGTGAGGGTACATCGAGTAAAGGAGAAATCGAGCAGTCGTAGTTTGCTTCTCGGTACAATTGCCCCCCCACTGGCGCATCAAGGCGATATTCGTGTTCGTTTAAATCTCCCATGACCACCACCCAATCTTGATTGAGGCGGTACTGTGATTGCAAAATATGCCGGATATACAAGCTCTGACGAATGCGTTTGGGGTCAGTCGCGACCTCATTGCCCGATTTTGATTTAAGGTGCGTGAGTAATATCTGTAACTTAGGTAAAGAGGGCGATAGGTCAGATAAATCGAGTGCGACTTGTAAACAATCTCGATTGAATAAATAAGGATCAGGAAACCCATTGACATCCAGATTGCCAGAGGCTTCTTTGACATAGATGTTACTACGTATGTGCTCTATTGGAAAGCGTGACAAAATCCCAACATCAATTCCCCTTCTATCGTTGCCATCAATCACCATGGCATAAGGGTAGCGATTGTTTAAGACATGTTCATTAAATTGTCGCAATAAGCGTAAATTTTCCACTTCGACCAATCCAATGACATCCGCATCTAAGTAATTGATAACTTGAGAAATACATTTAATGGACTCGCCGGCTAACCCATCTTCTAGGAAGACAATTTCACCATCCCAGGCATCGCGTCCACGGATTTTGTCATTCATGGTATGTGGCCGACCCGATGGTTTGTCGGTAAAATAGAATCGTCCTGACACGCCAGGGCCAGATACGTGTAGTCGATTGACTCGAATCTCAATATCTTTATATAAATCATTTTTCAAAAGCAAATTTAACATGCCCCGACGATCGCTGTCATCGTATACGGCTTTATCAAGGAGTTGCGTTAATTTGGCAATTTGATTAAAACGCTCAAAACGGGTTTGGCGATTGCCGGTAAGAAAAATACGGGCGCGCGTAAATAAATTTTCGACATTGTAGGTCGCAATTCGAAGGGTATTGGCTGGTTTAACCATCATGACAGAATGAATTTGAGGTGCATTGTGTCAAATTGTACTCGTGATCTCGATTTAATGGGTCATTTGTACGAATGTGCTTAACAAAAGCCGCAAAATTTGTTACATTACGGGCTATATCAACTCTTGGAGAAACACGTGGACAGTTGCCTTATATTGCAGGTCCGCGCATTGTTACCCTAGTCGCTCAAGTTAGGTGCGACAGAAAACAATGTGTGCACCTGCGGTCAAGTTCAAACATTCTATCAACCCCTTACATCGGCTCTGATCCGCCGATTGGTATGGATGACTTTGTTTGGTGGCATTGTCCTCGCGATTTGTAAAGCGAGGTCACTATGATTAATCTATTTGTTCTACAAAAAAATCGTTTGGCGCAAGTGCCCATTGAGGACCGTCGCGAACTGCTTAATTACCAGCCCATTTGGGTTGATGTGATTGACCCATCGGACGATGAATTGGCATGGATAGCCGAATATTATAAGGTGGTGTTACCTGATCCTGAGGAATTAGGAGATTTGGAAGCTTCCGCTCGTTATTTTGAACGGGAGGAAGATGGTCATGTGCATATTCATGCGGATTTCTTGTTAGACGAGGAAGAAAATACCCGTAGCGTAAGGGTTGCGTTTGTCCTAACGCAAAATGCCCTGTTTTCGATTCATGATGAAGATTTGGCGGTCTTTCGTTTAGTGCGTTTACGAGCACGTTTGCGCCCTGGAACCATTACCGATGCAAAAAGTGTTTTGCTTGAACTTTTTGATGCCAATGCCGAGTACTCTGCTGATTCTGTAGAAGAAATTTATGAAAGGCTTGAAAAAGCAAGCCATGAAGTGCTTTCAAGTGACCTATCAGACGAGGCAGCAGCGAGCATTCTTGAAACCATTGCATACGAAGAAAACTTAAATGGACATATACGCCGCAATGTGATGGATACGCGTCGCGCTATTTCTTTTATGGTCCGGAGCCAGTTATTAACAGGCGAACACATGGATGATGCCCGCCAAATTTTGCGTGATATTGAATCCATAGAAAATCATACGGCGTTTTTATTTGAAAAAATTAACTTCTTAATGGATGCAACCGTCGGTTTTATTAATATTAATCAAAATAAAATCATTAAGTTGTTTTCAGTTGTATCGGTTTGTTTAATGCCTCCGACTTTAATTGCTAGTGTTTATGGCATGAATTTTAAGTTTATGCCCGAGTTGGATTTAAAATATGGTTATGTTATGGCCATTGTTTTAATGGTGTTTAGCGCGATTGTCCCTATCATCTGGTTTAGGCGTAAGGGCTGGCTGACGTAATTGAATCATTTTATACTGCCTTGAGATGTCTCCTTCTTTGCCTGTCATCGTTTTAGCAGGACCGACTGCGTCGGGAAAAACAGCCTGTGCTTTGCACTTAGCAAAATATTTTCCAATTGAAATCATTAGTATGGATTCTGCTTTGGTTTACCGTGACATGAATATTGGCACGGCAAAACCCTTGGCAGACGAGTTGGCGATTTGCCCGCACCACTTAATCGATGTGATTGAACCCACCGACCACTTTTCAGCAGCCCAGTTTGCAAGCCGTGCGTTAACGTTAGTGACGGCGATCCAGTCACGTGGCAAAATTCCAGTATTGGTTGGTGGCACGATGTTGTATTATCGTGCTTTAGTCATGCCCTTAGATGATTTGCCATCCCGCGATGAGGCTATCCGTCAAACGTTGGATCAGTTAGCTTTACAAAAAGGCTGGGCATATTTGTATGACCAGCTCATTTTGCTCGATCCTACCACAGCCGCACGTTTAAACCCGCAAGATCGACAACGCATTCAAAGAGCTTTAGAGGTTTTTTATATTACAGGCAGGCCCTTGTCGAGTTTTTTTAATACTCAAACTGCCACACCGAGTTTGGTGCCCACCTTGATTAGTTTAGAACCGAGCAATCGTGCTTTGTTACACGAAAGAATATTACAACGATTTGATGTCATGCTTGAAAAGGGATTTGAAGAGGAAGTCATCCGTTTACGTGCGCGCGGCGACCTAAGCCTAGAGCTCCCTTCTATGCGTTGTGTGGGGTATCGGCAAATGTGGCAGTATCTTGATCATACGATTGATTATGAGCAAATGCGGGAAAAAGGTATTGTGGCGACTCGGCAATTAGCTAAAAGACAGCTGACTTGGTTGCGTGCTTTGCCTGATCGGCAAGTGATCGATTGTTTTGCTAACGATTTGCCCTCACAAGTTCTTGAACAGGTCAAAATTGCCCTAAAGGATGTTTTCTGAGATAAAATAAGACCATTGCTTTTTTATGACACTGATATGACAAACCATGCCGCCAATTTCGAACAACAAGAAATTGATAAATTTAGTCAAGTTGCTCACCAATGGTGGGATCAATCTGGTGAATTCAAACCCTTACACGACATTAATCCGTTGCGTCTGAATTGGATCGATCGTCAAGTACCCTTGGCAGGAAAAGTGGTTTTGGATGTGGGCTGTGGCGGGGGCATACTGTCTGAAAGCATGGCAATTAAGGGGGCACAGGTGACAGGGATAGACTTGTCCGAAGCGTCGCTTGAAACAGCGCGTTTACATGCACGAGAAACCCAAACAGCGGTGACTTACGAACTCATTAGCGTTGAAGCACTCGCTGCTCGTGATCCCGCGCATTTTGATGTCGTGACTTGTATGGAGATGCTTGAGCATGTTCCTGACCCCGCTGCGATCGTCAAGGCGATCCGTCAACTCGTTAAACCTGGTGGTATGGTGTTTATGTCGACCTTCAATCGCAATTTAACGGCTTATGTTTTTGCTGTGCTGGGAGCGGAATATATCCTCAAAATGCTTCCCAAAGGCACACACGATTACCAAAAGTTTATTACCCCTGCTGAACTCGCTAGCATGGCAAGACATGCAGGATTGGCGTTACAAAAACTTGAGGGCATGCGTTATAACCCGCTATTTAAATCGTATGAACTTACGCCAAACACACAAGTGAATTATCTGGCGAGTTTCCAAAATCCTAACGAATTCACACTATGAGCGAAGCGGATCGTTTTTCCCCAACCCATGGCAATTTAAAAGCGGTGTTATTTGATTTTGATGGTACACTAGCTGATACGGCTCATGATTTAGCTAATGCGACCAATCAAGCCCTAGTTCACCATGGCTTAGCGCCGATTGAGATTGGATTTTTAAAGCCGCAGGCTTCGTCTGGTGCACAAGGCTTACTGGGGGCAGCGGGTTTTACTCCAGAGCATCAACAATATGAGTCATTGCGACAGAGTTTCATCGAGTTTTACGCAAAAAACCTTTCCGAACACACCGCACTATTTGACGGGGTGAGCAATATTCTCGAAAAAATCGAAACCAAAGGGTTGTTATGGGGCATCGTTACCAACAAGTCGTCGCGTTTTACTTTGCCTTTGGTCGAACAACTTGGACTGGATTTGGCAAGTGTGGTTGTTTGTGGCGATACGACGCCTTACACTAAGCCCTCACCCGAACCGCTGTTATTTGCTGCACAACAGCTCGATATTGCTCCAGAGTCCATCATTTATGTAGGCGATGCGCGACGAGATATTGTCGCAGCAAAAGCGGCAAACATGTATAGTGTGGCTGCAGGTTATGGTTACTGTGCTGGCGAAAACCCAGCGTTATGGGGAGCCGATGACGTTATTAACAACCCTATGGGTTTAAATGCCATCATCAAAGAACTTTTATTACCAACTCATTAATTATTATGGCCAAAATAAATCTTAGTAAAATGGATACTTGCGCCCCGAAAGGGTTAGATAAAGATGCCACCAAGGCAAAAACAGCGGGTATAGTTAAGGAATTAGCAGAATTACAAAACTTATTATTTGCCGAAGGCAAACATTCGGTTTTGGTCGTTGTCCAAGGCATGGATGCCAGCGGCAAAGATGGGCTTTTAAAAAACGTCTTTTCCAGCATGAACCCAATGGGCGTCCAAGTTACCCCCTTTAAGGCTCCAACCGAAATTGAGGCTAACCATGACTTTTTATGGCGCATCCATGCCCATGCCCCCGCAAAAGGGATGATCGGAGTATTTAACCGCTCTCATTACGAAGATGTTTTAATTCAGCGGGTCCATGGCTGGATTACCGACCCAGTTGCCCGTAAACGGATGGCCGCCATCAACGATTTTGAGCGTTTGTTAACAGAACACAATAATACCCATATTTTAAAATTTTACCTCCACATTACCCCCGAGGAACAGCTCGAACGCTTAAACGAACGGTTAACGATCCCCGAAAAAATGTGGAAACACAATGACAACGATTTGGCCGAAGCTAAATTATGGCCTAAGTATATGAAGTGTTATGAGGAAGTATTTGAAAAATGTGATGAAATTCCTTGGCAGATCATCCCAGCGGCACAAAACTGGTACAAAAGCTATTTGGTGGCAAAGGCACTGCGCGACAAACTGGCCTCACTGAAGATGAAGTTTCCAGGGTTAAAGAGCGAGAAAACTTAACGGGTGGCGATTTTGGTCGTTTTGGTGAAGTGTTTTAAGTGAATCCAATTGATACCAATTCTCCATCAAAGTGCACCGCGAAATGGCGACGAAGACCTTACTGTAGTAAGGCTAGGAGTCATGACAAAGTAGCGCTTTGATGGGAAATTGGTAGATATATAAAAACGCAACACGCCTTATTGTAATGTTTCTGATATGGAAGAAAATGTTTAAACTTCACACACCCGTTAAACAAGGGCAAAACCAAGGGCAATGTATTTTTTGCCAGCGGATCTTGTCTTTGTCCGGAATGGCAAGACACCTTCAACATTGCGATGCCAGAGCAGATAGGAATGCTAAGGCGTCTTTGAAAAATCCCACTCAAGAATCGTTATATTATATTCGCGTCACCGACCAATACGATAAGCGGTATTGCTTAGATCTCGAAATTCGCGGTACAACAACACTCACCAGTGTGGACAGCTATTTACGTGAAATCTGGTTAGAGTGTTGCGGGCACTTAAGCGAATTTAATACCGATGGCTGGCGTGGCACCAAACTGGCCAAAAGTAAAAATGTAGCGAGTGTTTTTAAATCTCATCCAATCATAACCCATCTTTATGATTTTGGAACCACTTCCGAAACGCTGCTTAAGGTTGTGGCCGTTCGCACGGGTTCTTCCCTAACGAAAAACCCGATTTTTTTAATGGCAAGAAACATTTTACCCATTGAAAAATGTCTGAATTGTGAAGCGGATGCAGACTATATTTGCGAGGAATACGATGACGAAACCTTGGCTTGTTCTGAGATGATGTTGTGCGCAAAACACGCCAAAAAATACACACGAGAAAACAAACTTGCCCTTAAATCTGTCAATTCGCCTCGCCTCGGAATGTGCGGTTATTGTGGGCCTGCTGAACCACCCTATTAATCTCTCCCCTTTTTAATATCTCTGATGTTTACCCCCTGCTGTGTTGGTCGCCTCTTATTCCATTTCCTGATCAATCGTGTCATTTGTCACGCCTCCTAGCCTTACACGGACCATGTCATTGTTGTTGTCTCGCTGACACAATGAATCGGAAAAAGGAATTACGTCGTTTCACATTAACGACGTATATCAAAATACCTACAAGCCTTCCATCACAAAGGCTCTTTTGCCGACAAATGCCCATCAAGGTATGTTAACATAGCACTTTGCTGTTTGTTAAAGAAAAACACCGATCTATTGGATTTTTGTTAAGCTCTGATGTGGGCTTGACCTTGGGAACCATCAAAGAAATCGGCGTTTTCACATGGTTTTAAAGGTTTATTTCAGAAAATGTCCCATCCTCGTACGACTTCCCAACCAACGATCTCGCAATCGGCTAAGTCCGAATCGGCACAATCACAAGCGGACACACCGCCCAAAGCCAGTGTCGGTGCGCTCAAAACGTTGTTTCGTTTTCTCAAACCCTATAAAAATTATATCGTTTTGGCGATTATTTGTTTAATTTGCGCCGCTACCGCCACCTTAATTTTGCCTAAAGCAATTGGGAATTTACTCGATGCCGGTATTTTAGCGTCGAGTAGTCACGAACAAATTTCCCACCTACGTTATAGCTTTTTGGGTCTTTTTGGGGTTGCCGTTGCGTTGGCACTTTTCACCGCCGGACGCTTTTACACGGTGACATGGTTAGGAGAACGCGTCACGTCCGATATTCGTAATGCGGTCTATCGTCATGTGATTAAACAAAGCCCGCACTTTTTTGAAACTACACAAACAGGGGAAGTTTTATCTCGTTTAACTGCCGATACCACCTTAATTCAAACGGTGATCGGCTCCTCGTTTTCTATGGGATTACGTAATAGTATTTTGTTTATTGGGGCTTTAATTGCTCTTATTGTTTTAAATCCTAAGCTTATGGGGATGGTGACGGGGGTTTTGTTACTGATTGTATTTCCTGCCTTGTATTTTGGGCGGCGGGTGCGTAAATTGTCTCGTGCGAGTCAAGATCGCGTCGCCGACACTTCGGCCATCGCGGCAGAAATTATGAATGCCATTCCCGTCGTGCAAAGCTATAACCAAGAAACACGGGAAGCCGAGCGATTTGATAAAGCCACAGAAGAGGCCTTTGCAACAGCTGCCAAACGTGCCCGTGCTCGCGCTTTATTAACTGCATTTATTATCATCGGTGTGTTTTCGGGCTTATTGTTTGGGCTATATCAAGGCGCGGTCGCGGTGATCGAAAAAGAAATTACACCTGGGCAACTTAGCCAAATAGTGCTTTACATTTTTATGCTGGCCAGTTCAAATGCGGTGCTTGCCGAAATTTACGGGGATTTACTACGTGCTGCGGGCGCAACCGAGCGCCTGATGGAGTTGCTCAATACCCAGTCGCCGATCACCTCGCCAGTCAACCCTGTTGAGCTGCCCAGTATTGCCGACCAAGGTGGCGCACGGCTCGCCTTTGATGCGGTCACGTTCCATTACCCTTCACGCCCTGACCAGCCTGCTCTAAAAGATATTAATTTTGTTGTTGAACCGGGTCAAACGGTGGCCATTGTTGGTCCATCGGGAGCGGGTAAAACCACTTTATTTCAGCTGATTTTGCGTTTGTACGATACCCAAGAAGGTCAAATTTTTTTGCAAGGGATACCCTTAAAATCATTGGACTTAAATCGTTTGCGTGAAAACATGACGATCGTACCGCAAGAACCCGTGATTTTTTCAACCAACGCCCTAGAAAACATTCGTTATGGGCGACCTAGTGCCACAGAAGCTGAGGTATTTGCTGCTGCCAAGGCTGCTAATGCACATGAATTTATTGAAAAACTTCCAGAAGGTTACCAAACTTTCTTAGGGGAGCGGGGCGTGCGTTTATCGGGTGGTCAACGGCAACGTATTGTGATCGCGCGAGCAATTTTAAAAAACCCGCCGCTTTTATTGTTAGATGAAGCCACCAGTGCGCTGGATTCTGAAAGTGAACGTTTGGTGCAAGAAGCCCTTGATAGTGCGATGCGCAATCGCACAACGTTAGTGATCGCTCACCGTTTATCTACGGTACAATCAGCCGATCGGATTTTGGTTTTAGAGCATGGTCGTATCGTTGAGCAAGGTACACACGCTGAACTGATTAAAAATAATGGCTTATATGCTCATTTGGCCGCATTACAATTTAGTATAGATTAAACATGATGGAAATTCACACCATACAAGCAGCTATTGATGCTTTGCAAAATAAAAAGATCAGCGCGGTAGAGTTAGCACAAGTCTTTTTGGCGCGCATGACTTCACCAAGAGGTCAAAATTTAAATGCTTTTTTGGCTATTAATGAAGAGGTTACATTAAATCAGGCTAAAAGTGCCGATTTACGCCTTTCTCAAGGCTTAGCACCTCTTTTGACAGGTGTACCCATTGCGCACAAAGATGTTTTTGTGACACAAGATTGGCCAACAACAGCGGCATCAAAAATTTTACAAGATTATCAAAGTCCTTTTGATGCAACGGTGGTTGAAAATGCTCAAGCGGCCGGTGTGGTTTGTCTGGGTAAAACCAATATGGATGAGTTCGCCATGGGCTCAACTAATGAAAATTCCGCTTTTGGCCCCTCATTAAACCCATGGAACACCCAAAAGGTCTCCGGTGGCTCATCAGGAGGGTCGGCAAGTTGTGTGGCCGCTGGCCTTGCTTTAGCCGCAACCGGTACCGATACGGGAGGCTCGATTCGTCAGCCAGCCAGTCTTTGTGGAATCACAGGGCTTAAACCCACTTATGGCTTAGTGTCCCGTTATGGCATGATTGCTTATGCGTCGTCCCTAGATCAAGCAGGCCCCATGGCGCGTACCGCACAAGATTGTGGCATATTGCTTAATGCCCTAGCAGGGCACGATAATAAAGACGCAACGAGCATTGCTCATGCCAAGGAAGATTACACGCGCTACTTGAGCCAACCTTGGCAAACGGATAACCCTGTTCAAATGCCCCTCAAAGGACTCAGAGTAGGGGTACCAAAAGAGTTTTTTGGAGAAGGGTTAGACGCAGGTGTTCAGCAGGTTATTGAAAATGCACTGCAAAATATTCAGGCTTTAGGGGCGAGTTGTGTGAGTGTCTCTTTGCCGAAAACAGAGTTGTCCATTCCTGTCTATTACGTTTTAGCCCCAGCAGAAGCCTCTTCAAACTTATCACGTTACGACGGGGTGCGTTACGGTTTTCGAGCGGATATCGGTCCAAAAGGCAATTTAAATGACTTGTATACCCAAACGCGTAGCCAAGGGTTTGGGGAAGAAGTTAAGCGGCGTATTTTAACAGGAACCTATGTGTTATCACATGGTTACTACGATGCCTATTACCTCCAAGCTCAAAAAATCCGCCGCATTATTGCCGAGGATTTTCAGCGGGCTTTTGAAGTCTGTGATGTTTTGATGGGGCCGGTTTCGCCCACTGTGGCCTGGGGATTAGGTGAAAAAACCAGCGACCCAATTTCGATGTATTTAGCCGATATTTACACACTTTCGGTTAACTTGGCCGGCTTGCCCGCTATGAGTGTCCCTTGCGGCTTTAGCCAAGATTTGCCGGTGGGCTTGCAACTGATCGGCAATTATTTTTCAGAAAGTCGGCTACTCCAAGTAGCCCACACTTATCAACAACATAGCAACTGGCACCTACAACAAGCCATGGCTTGGTAAAAAAACGCGGGTTAATTCAGATTTCCCACCACTACAGATGAAAACAAGGCTCTCAAAGTTTTGATTTTACCCATATTATATTTTTTAACATATTGATATTATTAATGAATATAAATTATGCCAAAGCAAATCGGATTTTCCCCGTTGATTACGAATCTAAAAAACGACAAACTCGTCGAGATCGTTTTTGCACGAAAGATAATCAAAAGGGCTAGACTCCATTGATTTCGAGGTAGCTTCTCACACAGTAATCTGCTGGGGTTGATTGATGATGTTGTGGCGGGGCAGTCTTGCCATATTGTTGAAATATGATATAAAATGTATCATGTCATAACTTTTCTCGGAAATCTATGGCGTCTGACCATCGATTCAGACCCCATCGATTCAGACCCCATCGATTCATTAAACGCCTGTGCCAGAGTCATACCAAAACGCCGTATTTTGCTGAAAATGCGTGCCTACTCGTCCGCATCCATACGAATCTGATAGGTAGTTTGTTTTTCCATTGTGTGAGCACCCATAGAAAAAATTAGTATGTACGTACACTGTACGTTTTAATAAAGAAAAAGCAAATGATTTTTACTGTTGGAAAACTTAAACTCACCGCTTATTTTGATACTCGCTCGTAGTTTTCCTGTGCCGTTCAACAAACTCTCGAATACTCAGAATCTCCGTATTTTTGTATGGATTAAGTACGAGAAGACCAGAATCGCCAGAAACAATAATCATTGCCCCTGATGACAGGGCAAGCGACAAAAATTTATTGTCTTTAGGGTCTCTGCAATCCGTGCTTTCTATGGTTATTTCTACCATTAAAACTTGCTTTGCATATTCAATGGCTATATATTCACGTTCTTCAATACTGGCATATTGGTTGAATTTATCACGTTTGACAACATCAATAAATTCCCTCAGTGTTTCATGTGAGGCAACAATATCAAATTGTTCTAACCCAATAATAAGGGCTTCACTGCAAATACTTTGAGGCTTTATCACTACACCAATCAGGGCAGTCGTATCAAAGATGATTCTTTTACGCTCGAAGCTCATGTACAAGGGCGTTAATTTCTTCAATAGAGAGTTCCCTTGCTGGGGCAAGAGCTTTACGATTTCTTAAGAAATTCGTGAATCTTTGGGCTTCAATACGTTTGACTGCTTCTAGTGAGATCTCATTGACGGGAAGCATCACAATAGCGTCTCGTCCATGTTGAGTGACTACTATGGGTTGACCTGTTTTCACTTGGTCGATAGTCGTACCCCAAGAGGTTTGAACACTGCGGGATGTGATAGTAAGCACGGGCATATCTCACAAAATTACATATTATATGTATTATATACATAATATATGCGGAAGCAAAGGATTATTTTTTGTTCAAAACTCAAAAACACCACCGTTTATTGGACACTTAAAAAAGCTCCGAAAATGGGGCTTTTTTTACGTCATTTTGTTCATAAACTCATTTAATAATTATAAATTACGAGGTCAGAGTTAATGAAATGTGTTATATCGGTATTTCATATATCAAAAAAGGTTGAAATCAAACAACTCTGACCCCGATATTATACTGACCCCGATATTATAGCAGGTGAAGACATACAAGGAATATCGGATTTTATGGATAGTGTTGCCCCAGAGGCGACGGACACCATGCTAGAAACTCTTTTTTCAGGAATCGCCCAGCTCGAAAGATTTCCAGAAATAGCAAAAGGAGCAGAGGAAGCAAAATACCGACATCTAAGTGAACTTTTTATTCCTTTTGGTGCGAACGGTTACAGTGTTTTGTATGAATTTAAGGAAAAACAAGATATTGTCTTGATTACAGCTATTATGCACACGAAAGAAAAAGGGTTCAAAGTATAAATTTTATATAATCATGCTAACCCATTGGTTTAAAAATAACGCGTCAGAGTTAATTAAATGTGACAATGTCGGTACTTCATCTATCAAAATATGGGAATAAAATTAACTCACTCTGACCCCTTTGTTTTTTTCTCAAACCTTGTCCAATCAAGAACATGGATAAGTTTTTCAAGTTTGGGCGTGAGTGAGCCTACTTGATCAGCAATATCAGGAATCAATTCATCTTGTACATTGTTCCACCGAACTAGGGATTGATGTGCGACAGCAGAATTAGTGGTATTATTAAATATGTCAGGCTGGATATTTGTGATAACTAACTGATATTTTACCAGAAATGGTGGCCTGTGATATCCTCCGTTAGCGTATTTTGGCATCAATAATTCAACTAAGCGCAGGGTTCTGCAATAGGCTCTAAAGAGACACTTAATATGTATAAACTAAGCCACCCAACCAATTTTGGCAAGGAAGACCTGACGATAACCATGGTGTATGTGCCCCCCACGGCTAAGGATTGTGCTTATATCCCCCTTGAGTGGAAAGAACAAAAACTCATTCCCCAAGGGTTTGAAGATGGGCTGCCGATCGACGGTTTTTGGCTGATGGCGGCTCCATTGACGCAAAAGCAGTGTTTTGCACTGTTGGGGGAAAACCCTGCAAGGTATAAATCTCCTGAGCAGCCACTCGAATCAGTATCGTGGTATTGGGTTCAAGAAACCTTATTAAAAAAAATCAATAGCTTAAAAAATTGGTCAGTTAGGCCATGTGATGCATAGTATCCCCAAGAGGCTAAACAACACCAAGCATTAGCGATCCAAGCAGCCCTAGACCTGGAAAATCAATTAAACCAAGAAAACTCAATAGCTTGGCAGTTGCCCTTTGAGTTGCAGTGGGAATATGCAGCTTTGGCTGCGCCCCAAAGTCAAGCAGCGTTGGCACGATGTGACCCCAGTCAATACGCAGGAGCTACCCGTTTGGATCTGGTGGGTTGGTATGAGGGCAATAATGATCGTAACCCCATGGCGGTTGCTTTAAAGGCGCCGAACTTGTTAGGGCTATATGATATGAGTGGGCAAGTTTGGGAGTGGTGCCAAAATGCTGTAATGCAAGCCTACGAAGATCAAGCCGCTAAAAAGAATCAGCCCGAAGTCGGTATGTGTGCTCTTAGGGGTGGCAGTTGTTTCAACCTTGCGTTCTTTGGTCGCGTGGGCGACCGGTTCGACTTCAACCCGAGCCGCGACTACGGCGACACGATCGGTCTGCGCCTTGCTTTGCCTGCCCCCCAGGTCAAGTAATAAAGCAAGCGAGCAAAGCAAGCAAAAAGGTTAGTCAAGATAGCACAGGTGTAGCGAGCTGGGCTGGCGCGGGACGCGACAGACTAAGGTGAGCGGGTCAAGTGGCGATGTTTTGACAGATGAAAAAATTGTGTAATTGCGATTCTAAATTCAATGTACGCGCGCAACGACGACGAAGACTTTACCGTTGTTAGGCTAGGGGGGTGACAAAGTGTACATTCTATTGAGAATTGGAATAAGAGGGAAACCAAGATGAGTGATCAACAACTACCGAAATTAATTCTAACTCTTCAACAAATTACTTTTGAAGGCGGATTAAAACCCTTTGCCGCTTTGACTCCCTTGTACGATTTATTGAGCGATCGGGGACAAAAAGACGATTCTAATGAGCCGTTGTTAGGTTATGCCACCAATCAAGACAATCAAGTGATTAGCCTAACCCTCACAGCCCTTGCTGACAAAGCAGGGGATTGTTTTCCGCCACTTTGTCCACAGGATGTCAGTGAGTCAGACTGGAGTGGGTTATGGCAATATATTGAAAATTTGGATATTTCTAAAAATGCTTTTAAAGAAGTTGATCTTAAGCTTTTGAAAGGTTTGCAGTTTTTGCATATGGCGGATAATGGCGCCGTTTGTTATGTGAAGCTCAATAACTCGCAGTTGCAATATGCTACGTTGTGGAATAACACAATTGGCGTTTGTGAGGTGGCGGGTTGTGAGCAACTACAACAGCTTGATTTAAGGGGTAATCCTTTGACAAAACTGGTTTTACCCACCGCTTTATGCGATCAGATGAAGGCAGGTGAAGCAAACCCGTTTCCGTTGGAGTTGATATTTACCTTAGATCAGTTGCAAAATAATCAGTTAAAGGGTGCGCTGGAAGAATTGCAAAGTGGCAAGCTAGATGCGTTGCGGGTTTTTATGCAAAACTATGAAAACTATGAAAACAATCAAGGGCATGAGCGACGTCGATTTGCCAAAGTGATGTTATTGGGCAATACAGGGGTAGGGAAAACCACCTTGGCTGATGCGTTACTCAAACGTGAAAAAAATGATTGGCGACAAGGGAAAAGCACCCACGGGGTCTTGTGGGATCATTTTGTGTTGCCACGCGATCCTAAAGAGTTTGCCAAAGATCGAGAAGTTCAAGTCTATCTCTATGATTTTGGAGGACAAGATTATTATCACAACACCCATTATCCACTTTTTGGTTCGACCAATACCTTGTATATCACTTTGTTTAACCATCCGCGAGATTTGGAATCTTGTTCTTACCCTCTCCATAGAGATGGCCGAAAGGAAACGGCCTACCCTTTGTCTTATTGGTTAGGGGCGGTTAATTTGTATGGTGAAGTTAATCCAAAAAACTTTAATGCCAAAGAAAGAAAACTGCATGGTTTGATATTGCAAAATCCTTTGTTGAGCAATGGTGCTACAGGGCAGCGGATGGATTTGGATTTGCGTACCCTCAAACAACAATACCCATTTGTGTGGGGCGAGCAGGTGATTAGGCCGATCGATACGAAAAAAACCAAAGGGGGTTACGCACAATTTGATATGAAGGTGGTGGCAGCAGAAATTGAACAATTGATTGAAGAGGTTGCGGTTGCCAATGATGTGTTTAAGTATGAATTGCAGACTGAAAAGAAGTTGGAGGAATATAAAAAAAAACACCCACATGAAGTGTTGCTTGAGCAAAATCAAATAGCTCAGTTTTTGAACGATATAGACGACAGTATCAATGCGGTCACTCGAAAAGAACAACTCGCTAGCTTAAGTTACACAGGGCGCTTGTTTTTTTATCCACGGCAAAGTGATCTTGAGGAAAATATCCATTTAGCGTTAAA